TGTGCAATCACATCCCAGGGCTCTTTTTATGTCTCTCTTTTGTTAGTTGCCTCTTGATGCAGAGAGGAAAAATCCAGAAATGGAAGTCAAGAGACATAGATTCTAGCACAGACTCCTGCTGTGTGACCTTAAGTATGTCACCCAAATTACCCTTACCCTGGCCTTAGAGCTGGCAAGAGAGTTCAGTAACAATCCTTCACCATTTATATTTTACAAAATGCTCTCACATCCATTTTTAATTGAATCCACTGGACCAAACTCTCTAAATCAAATGAGATAATGGAGATGGAAATACTTTGAAGGGTTGGAAGCGCAATATACATATGAGAGATTATGTTGCACAATACTTATGATAATGTTGATTCAGTTCAATTATATTTATTAAACATCCACTTTGGGCCAAGCCTTATCCTAGTTGATGGGGGCATAAAGATATTAATACATTAGACACAGTCCCTGCCTGCACCTTTGCACTGTTTCTAAGAAGGGGAAAAGACATGCCAAGAGGGTACAATGTGATAAAATTACCATAGAATTATAAACAGAGCAGTAAGCTAAGTAAAACAAGCCTCTTTCACTTTGAGTGGGGCTCAAGGGATTCAATGTAAAGCTTCACAGAAATCGAAAATTTTTATAAGTAGAAAAACTGAAGTAGGTGAGGTAATCCTTGCCCCACGAAGGAAGGGACTGTGCCTATCTTGTTTTCTTCCATACTCTTAGAGCCAAACCCATTGCCTGACATCTAGATACTTAATAAATATTTGTTGAATGAATGATTAATAAATCAAGAGCTGAACTGTAAACCTGCAGCTGTTCCACAGAACTCTTTTGAAGTGAATGTAAATAATCTCCTCTCCCCAGTTGTGGGAGGGGCTCCAACGATTCACATTAGATGTTTTCTAGAGATTAAACCTTCCTCATCTCGCAGCAACTTCTGTGGCTGGCCTCTCTGTTCCCTTTGTTCCCAATGTTGAGAATCCCTGCTGCAAGAAAGGACTCAGGGATCCTCTCCCAAGAGATGTGTCAATTAGCTTATTATTTTCATAAGTATTGTGACAATGTCCTGTCTTCCTTTTTTTTTTTTAGGCACCTTTGTTGAGGGTAAAAGGAGCGGGGAAAGGATGAGATTTTGACTACTCTACCTGATCCCTGAAGGGGAACAGAGAGGCCAGCCACAAAGACTGCTGGGAAAATGGTCTAATATGACTCTCAGAGCTCTAATGGGGAGAACATTTGTGGTAGAACGTTGTGGATTTTGAAATCAGGTAAGTTTGCATTGCAATCTAGACAGCACCACATATTAATTAAGTGAATGTTAAACAAACTATTTCACCTCTGACCTTCTGTTTCCTCATCCATAAAATGAGGATTAAAAATAATCATTACGTCTTTTTGCCTTCAAGTGGGCTGCTGGTAGGAACTCTGTATAGGAGGTGTCCTTTCTGCACTGCGGTGGTGGTCTTGTTTCTTTTTCTTTTCCCGAATAAACTGTTTTCTTTTGTGGAAAAAAAAAATCATTACTTCAAGAGTTTTTTAAAAGGTGAAATAAGGTAACATGCAAATTCCCAGCATAAGGCCTGTTAGAGATTGGTTGCTCATCAAATACTAGTTCTTCCTTTTTTCTTTCCTGTTCACTAATTTCTGACTCTCCTGCTCCCAGGAGCTCATTCTCTGTCACAGTTTTACCACTGCCACAGATGGCTTCTCTGATTTCATGCAGGCAGATCATGTTCTTGGTTTCTTAGTGGCACCTGAAAGAGCACTCTTTTTCCTACACAAAGTTGGCTGAAAGCCTTGCTTTGTCTATTTCCTCTATGCCTAAATGAATACCTTAGATATTACCCTTCCAATGAGAGGAGAGACCAGACCAGTGCCAGAAAAAAACTGAGCAAAAGTCACACTCCCAGGACGGACTTAGTTATACCCACAAGCACTCACCCTACCCCACCCTCCCACCCTTCCATCCCCCAGAAAACATGATTGAATCAGAGTAACAGCACTTCTTCCTTCTTGGTAGGCTGTACATGTTTTAATCATGACCAGTCCTGGGGAAGGGTGAGGAGGGCGGGGTGAAGACTACCAGCTGGCCACCAAAATCTATTCTGCCCTTCCATAGTAATAGAGATGTGGCTGGGACATGACTGCCCAGATAGGAACCTCGTTTGCTAGCACCCCGTTTCAGCCAGTTGTGGCCATATTACTAAGCCCTTATCAAAGAATGTGAACAGAAGTCTTGTATGCAGCTTTTGCCTTGCTTAAGAGTAAATCTCTGGCCTTGGACTTCTTTCTCTCTCCTAATTAGAAATGCTTCCTTCCACCATGATAAACTTGGAAGTTATATTCAGGGACCTAGGTAATCATTATCCTGGGTCCCTGAATGACTGAGTGGAGCAGAGCCATCCATCTACGTGGAACACTGGCTTGGACCATACTACACTGGACCTCCTAATCAAAGCCTACCAGTTCTTCATATCTTTCCTCAAATTTCCAGGAAACACCTGTGAATACGTCCCTCTCCTCTTCTAGACTATCACATTTAATATCTGTTCCCCACATTTCCTGGTACTTTACTATATTGTTTTCTACTCAGTTTTATTTGGTGTTATCTTGTTTTGTTCTTTACTTGCTGTGTGCTTCTTATTTCTGAAACTACAAGGATTTCCCAAGATGTGACACTCTACTTCTTCTCCTGTTTCCCCAACAGCACAGCTTAGTGGATGCTGACGGAGCCCCATACAGACTCCTTTCCCCAGCTGCTGTGAGTGTTGGCTGCCATCAGCTCAGAGCTGCCCCCTTCTCCAGAGACAGCCTCAGCCAAATGTGAGTACCTCTGTAAGGTTACCTGCCCCCTCCACAGCAGCCAATGATGACTGACAAAAGAGGTAGAAGAGGATAGCCACAGAAGGTGGGCCAGTTCTGTGATGAGCTTTATTTTATTTACTTATTTAGTCTAAGGAGGGTGCAGCTCACAGTGGCCCATGCAGGGATTGAACCAGCAACCTTGGAGTTATCAACAACACACTCTAACCAACTGAGCTAACTGGCCACACCCCTGTGGTGATGAGCTTTAGAACCTTTCCGAGGAACCAGGCTGTTGCTAATTTCCAACCAAGACAACTTCCTTGTTTATCTTTCTTCCACAGCGCTAGCCTGCAATAGTTCACAGGTCCCACCCTTCCCCAGAGAATGCCATCAGCTGATGAGAACCTCCTTACTTCCCTCTACTTGTCCTTGCTCCCCACCACAGTGGCCCACACCCAGTGACTGAGTGATATGGGGGCATACAAGGCCAGCCCTCTTCTTTCAAGGGGGTGTAATCCTGCCATGTGGTTTATGCCCAAGCAGAGTACAACAGTTCCATGTGGATCAGGCCAGGGCTAGACATGACCTGAGACACACCTTGTTTGGCTCTTCCCCTTTTCTACCTACTTCACTCTCTCCCTTGTAGGTTTTTCCTGAAATGCTCCTCAATAAATGCCTGTCTCAGACTCTGCTTCTTGGGAACCCAACTTCAGTCTATTGGTGTCAATACCCTGCCATCATTTTTCCAAATCACTTTCCCATTCATTTCTGGGAATTGTTCAGATCCATGCTCTGGGCTGGGTGTGCCGTGGTGCCAAAATTGGGTTTAGGTTGCTGATGGGGCTAGATGAACAAGTGAGCTCTATTGAAGTAATTATAAGGAAAACCTACTAAATAAGGTTATGAAGGTTTTAAAAGCTAAATGAATTAATATGCGTAAAATGCCTAGACCCTGCCTGATGTAGCAAATCCTCTTAAGTATTAGGGCAAGGATTTCTTTGATCTTTTTTATTTACTTATGTATTCCGTGTCTCTAGGCATTCAATAACTATGTTGAATGAGTGCTCTTTTGGCTTTGAGGGCTCAAGGCGGTGTGCTGGATCTGGCCAGCAGAGGGCAGACCCAGTGCAGGCAATAGAGCCTGTGGGCTGAGGGAGGTAGTGGGATAGAAATCCCAGACGATTAGGGTGGGGCGGAGCTGGGGGGAGGGCTGAGAGGAGTACCTGTATCATAGGATATTAGACTGTTTACACACCTTAAATTCCTAGCATTTTATTTAGTCCAATCCTGGGTGTGTGTCATATACTGAGCCCCCACTTTGTGAATGCATATAAGTAGTTCCAGGCCAGGAGATCCCTGGAGTTGTCCCCTGTCTGCATCTCCTCTTTTGAACTTGTGATTTTCCCATACTCCTCTCAATAAATCCCCTTTTGCGCTTATGCTAATATACATTGGGTTTCTGTAACTTGCAAGCAAAAGAATTTGGATTATTCTACTACCAAGCCCTATGAGTATAAGGACTGTGTGAAGTCTCATCTCTGGATGGGGACACTGACATTTAGCAGCCACACTGGGCCTGCTTCCTCTCTTCAGGAGGGTGGTCTTACCACATTTCTGCCTCCAAGCTTCCCTGTCTTGTTCCCTTCATTCGCTGTGCTCCATCAGACCAGTCCTGTCGTTCAAAGCCCAGTTCAAATTCTACCTTTCTCTGCCTTCTCTAGATCTAGTCAATATCATTTCTCAAAACTCTTCTAGGGCCGGCCGAGTGGCTCAGTTGGTTAAGAGCTGGCTTGGGATGCCAGAGGGCCCCAGTTCGGATCCCACATATGAGGGCCAGTGACACTGCCCTCCACAGCTAAGATGCTGAACAACAGCTCAACTTGGAGCTGGGCTGCCATGAGTCACTGGCAACGGCTAGGCTGCAGCCCCTGTGGCAGTGGGTTGCCATGGGCTACCGTGTGTAGCCAGCAGCCAGCATGAGCGACCAGCCGCCAGCATGAGCGGCCAGCAGCCGCTGTGAGCAGCTGTCCAGAAGCCGGCGACTAATCTGCCTCACCCGGGAGGAGCGCAATGATGGCGCCAACTTGGGCCAGTGAAGCAACGTTCTCCACAAGTAGACTGAATTAAAAAACAACAGCAACTTGTCTGTTCCCCTTCCCCCAATTCCCCAGTGCTGTTCCCATCCCCCAATTCCCCAATAAAAATCTTTAAAAAACAAACAAACAAAACTCTTCTAGCATCCATCCCCTGACATTCATTCTTACACTTGATTGCAATCCATATTTTATTTGGGAGTTTGGGCTGAGTGGTCTCTAAAGGCCCATCCAACTATAGACTTGTGAGTCTGTTGTCATCCCATACTTCACATCTTCTTAAGCAGGTCTCTACTTTCTCCCTCAAGAAGACATAAGGAAAGGCTGGAGCACACACAGGGCTTAGGGATTCAACATAACTAATTGCTCGTGGGAGCAAATGTGTTCTGTGATCCTCCATTCAAGAAACACATAGGCATTTATTTTTTCAAAGTGGAAGTAGCTCCCCCCACACACACCCCTTATTATACAAGTAACATACTTATGGGCAAATAAATCAAATATTACATAACATTTTAAAGTAGAAAGGGAACATTACCCATAGTCCTTCTCCTCAAAGATAACTGCTATAGAAATATTCTTTTAGAATTTTTGCTATACATGAATATGTATGTCTCAATAGGGTTTCCTGGTGACACCATGGAGATTCCTTAAACAGAAATCAAACAGAACAGTGAGAGGTTCCAACCTGGGATTTGTAGTTTGTAAAGTATTCACCTGCCACATTGCACGTATTAGATTGAACCATATGAAACTACTGATACTCAGCTGTTTTTGACCCACAAACACAGCAGTTTGATATGGTTCAACCTGATATACATGAAGCCTAGAATGTCAGGACTGGTCGGGGTCTTAGAGAGTCCATTTCACTGTGCTGAAGAGGGAAGGATCCGAGAGAAGTGACTCGTCAGTATCATACTCATTTGCGGTAGAATCATGGCGGATTCTCTTTTCACTGAACCAGATGCCTGCGTTGCACACTCTACTTCTTTTCATATGATAATCTTCTAGGTGTGGTAATAATCTTCAAGAAGCAGATTTCAACTTGGTATTAGAAAATTTCTCACAGAACTCAATCAAAATGGAACAGGCTGAGCTAGAGGTAGTGAAGTCCCCATGACTGGAGATATGGCTGGGAAGGGCACTGTGACAACTGTGACCTGGCTGGAGAGGCACATGAACCCTGGAGCTAAGCAGGCTTATCATTCAGGGCCCTGCATTTGCACGGCTTCTTAAAGTCTTAGGAGGGTCCCTAGCAATGTATTAATATGACAATATGTGTTTGTAATATTTGTAGAAGTAAGATTTTTAAAATTCTTTTTCTTAAAGAGGGCTCCCAGAATTGTATATTGTCCAGGCCTGGATCCACCCCTGTGTGGCACAGTTTTGAAAAGCACTGGGCAAGGAGACCAGAGTTCCTGGGTTCTAGTGGCACCATGCTGACCCAAATGGACAGAATGGTACCTGCCCCGCTTCCCTTACAGTGGGGTAAAAATCATAAATGTTAAGTGGGTTGAAAAACATAAAATGTGAACAAATATAAATAAGTAATATTACTCAGATTTCCTGTGGTATGGGATAATCATCGCTGCTTCTCATGGTCATTGAAGATAACATATAAAAAAAAAAAACGTCCTCAGTGCATCTTCCTGTTTCATTTCCTTCTGCTATAACTTCCTTTTCTCCTTCCTCCAGCCCCTAACCCCCAACCCACTGGACTCAAGCCACTGGATCAGTCATTGGTTATTATCTTTTGCTACTTCTATATATTTGTTCATGGGGCTCCCATTATCTATAAAATCTATTTTGGCTGGGAAAAAGTCCTTATCCACAAGGCTCAGGCCTGCCCGTCTCCTCCCAGCCCAATGATGACATCCCTTAGCACTGTTTCTTGTTGACCTTATAGAGAGGGTCACAGACCTGATGTGACCCATGGCTGAGTGCTGGAGGCCCCAGAAGACAACCCTCAAGTCTTGATCGTCAGCCATCCCAGGCCCCCTAACATCAGATCATAGACACACGGTTCTTGATGTACACGTGGTAGGGGTCGCTGCGCTTGTCCACTTTGCGGGAGCGGGTGTATCCCAGGATGAGGCTACCCACAGTGACAGCAAATAGGAACATGACAAAGAGAATATACATGTAGGAGTTGTCATCACGACCAGGTAGGCTGGTCTGCCTCTCCACTGTCAGGTTGTCTGGCCAGCAGAGCAAGTTGCTGTGAAGAGTAGCATTTAGAGCCTTCAGCACAGCGTGCAGGCTCTCATACCAGGCCTTGGTTCCATTGGTGGTTTCCATAGCAACAGGGATTGAGGTGGGGAAGAATTGGAGGATGCTCTGGTGGTGACAGAAAAGAGAGACAGTGGCTTCTGTTACTTACAGCCTGAATGACCTCCTTACTCCTTCGCACCCCAGTTAAAATCCCAACATCACGGTTTACTTATCTGTCTTCTCCACTAGACTTCAAGCTCAGTGAAAGTAGGGACTATGTCTGCTTTACTCACTTCTATATATGAACACCATGACAGCACTCAATAGATGCTCAGTCAGTACTTGTGGAGTAAAGCCTTCCTTGGCCCAATAAATCCATACTGATCTGTCCTTTCTTTGGAGTCTGTAAGTTACTGAGCTTTATGCTAGAGGACCTTAGTGATTTAATCTAATGCCTTCTATTTTGCACACAGGGAAACTGAGGCCCAGAGAGAAGAAGTAGCTTGACCATAATCCCAGAGAACATTAGAGATAGAGCCATGAGAGAGCCCTACTCTTTGATGACCAGCTCCTCAACTTCCATGCCAGCTCTTGGCAGGGCTGTGTGGCATTATTAGGTGACATTCCTCAGAGCTCCCCTTCAGCTTAGTTCTTTTTTATACTCCGTAGACACCATTTAGATGTTTGGGGATGGCTCAGATTTCACTCTTCCTGGAGCCAGAGGCTGGGTCATTTGACTTCTCAAGCATCCTATGTCCCAAATACTCTGGGTATTCCTAGCTATTTGGAGGAAATACTGTTGGAAAGGCGGTGGCTGGGGAAGCAGGGTGAGGCTGATAACCACTGCAGGCACTGGAGAAGAGAACAGGGCTGGGCCTGGGGGAAAGGGGAGAAGAGCGCTAAGTCTGGTCTGGAGTTTTACCTGCCCCAAGGGAAGAAGGCACAGCACCTCAACTAACTTGCCTTCTGACACAAAGTTGCTGTGTACTTGGCATATAATAGGTGATAATAAATGTTCCTTTTCCTTCTTCTCAGAGAGCCTTAGTCTGTAATATAGAAAAACATCCAAAGACAGCCTTGCATGCTAGTCTTTTAAAAAAAACAACAACCCCATGTCATTTCCTTTAAACAAGGCTCCACACTCTCTTCCTTCAGGAATCCTTCATTGAATGCTCCCCACCCCTTAACCATACTCCACAAGCTTTATCATCACAGCCTTCCCTTTGTCCCTTATATATAAGGCACTGTGTGGCTGTCCTCTTGTTTTGATAAGGGTATCAGCAGACCACATGCTCCTAGTCAGCAGGGCTGTGTCTCTTCCCCAAGTCTAGTGGACTTTCTTGAGATTGGCTGGGAATTCTTCTTCTCTCAATGGCCGTTTTAGGGATTTCTCCATAGTTCAAGCACTCAGAGTTCACTGACTGGTTCCAAAGCCCTCCTCTATCTAGGTAGAGCTGTCAACCAACCAAAGTTAACACACTTGACTATTAACCACAAGATCTCTTTCCCAGAAAAGATGAGTTAGTTGTGACCATGAGAAATATTCATGGATAAACTCTATGAATGCAAAGGTTGGAGGAAAGAATCTAAATAATACAGTAATCACCCAAGACTGGCCCAAATTTCATGCAAGGCCTTTGGGGTCTCCTGTTATCTAGCACTTGGGCTACCTTGTCTGGATGGAAGAGAGAACAAGGACTCACTGAGTTGAGATCCAGGAGGCATAGGTTCTCATCTACTACCCCACTTGTCAAACAAGAAATCGGTGCCTTCTTCTTCCCTTGTACAGGCCAATGGAAAGCAGGAGCAGCATAATGAAATTAATGGCTCAACCAATCATTTCAGCCAGTCATCATTTATGGAGGCCCACTCTTGGGCAGGTTCAGACCCAGTCCCTGTACTTGGGGTCACATCACCAGCTCTTCTATAATGCAGGGGGCAAGCCAGGGGCTTCAAGGAAGAACGGATGAATTTTGATCAGGGCTCAGAGAATGTTCACAATGATGGTGGCATTTCAGTCAGACCTTGAAGAGTTTTTAGGAGGTAGAAAAGGCAAGGAAAAGAAACAGATGAACACAGGCATAACAACAAGAAAGCACACAACATGTTTAGAAGAATGGGAAGTAGCCAAAAGAGGCTGGAGTGTAAGACGTGAGGAAGGGTAAGACAGGCTGTGGGATGGAGAGACTGTCCTGAACCAGGCCTTGAGTACCAGCCTGCAGAGTTGCAACTTCATCCTGTAGTTGGGAAGAGCCAGGGGACAGTATTCAAAAAAGGGGTATGAGGACCAGATCTGCACTTGGAAAGGACACTCTGGCTGCTATGTGGACTGAATTGTGGGCAAGAATTAAGGCAGAGAGCCCAGTGACAAGGGTCTTGAAATGGTTCAGGTGGAAGACGTTGAATCCTGAGCTGGGGCCAAGGGGATGACAAGGTGGGGGCAGAGACAGATGTCAGATGTAAGAGGCATTTGGGGGAGGGAGTGGTTAATGCAAGGGTGGAGGGGGAAGGGGCATCAGGCAGTTTTACAGGTAGACAACAGACAGATGGTGTAAACTCCTGGAGGAGCCCATTTTGAGGGAAATAAGTTTCTCACCCTGTTTGGGCTTTAGTATCCTTATCTATCAAAAAAGATTAACATCAGGATTTGCTGCTCAGTGGATATAGAGTTTCAGTTTTGTAAGATGAAAAAGTTCTAGAAAACTATTGCACAACAGTGTGAATAGAGTTAACACTACTGAGCTGCCCACTTAAAAACTGTTAACATGATCAATGTTATGTGAGATTTTTTTAACCACAATTTAAAAAAAAAGATTAACATCCCATTATGCCTCCCTCTAGGCTTGCTGGAGCATATACTTTTATTATGTTGAAGAAGATTTTAAAAATATATTTTAATGCAAAACATGATTTTTTTTCTTTAAAATGAAAATCTATTTTTCATTTTTGAGAAGTAAATACACATACAATGAAGATGCAGTCTCCCTGGTCCTAGTGGCCCAGGGCTCTTTCCCAGGGCAGTCACTGTTACCAGTTTTTCTTTTTCACAGGAGGGTTTTAACTGACAGGGCAGACATAGGGCAACCACAGTCTGGAAGACTCACCAAATTGCAGGCAAATTCTCTGGCTCTGAGTCGGCTTCAGGAATCTCCCAATGGGCGTCCTAAGGCTCCTCAGCCCCTCAGCCTCTTCAGGGTATCTCTGGACACATCTGGGGTCTCAGTATTGACTCGGGGAGCTGGAAGGCCCAGAGCAGGAAAGCAGGAGAGGGGGCAGACAAGGAAGGAACAAGACACACCGAAACAAACTTCAAAATCAGGGTGGATCACCAAGGCCCGGCCCCAAGGGTTGTGCAATAGCCTTGCTGTGGGTCTGACCCCCTCCACTTCTCCCCTTCCTGTAGCAGCCTAGGGTTACAGTTACAGGAACTGTGCAGTGGCCAAGGGACATCTGGATTGCTGTCTCCTGACGCCAGGCCCACAATGGCTCAGTCGAATGACTTCATGAGGAAACTCAGTTTACCATGTGGACTCCTGCTCAGGAAGTGGCCGCTTAAAACATTCCCTTTTTTTTCAAGGCTACTGGTATCTTAGCAGGGGCCTCTGAAAGGCTGACAGGGCCTGAGATCCAAGGGAATGATGCGAGCGGCAGAATGGCAGTTGGCAATTGGGTTGATATTTTACATAGGAACAAATGATGTTCCCAATCGCCTATTTGGATACACTGGGTAAAAGCATGGCCACAGCATCAACACTGTCTGTAGCCTAGCTCACTGTGAAAATTAAAGAAGAAAAATACACAGCACCTGGCACTAGACATTCCATAGACGTGGCGGTGGTTTTATTTTTGTAGAGCAGAGGTTGGCAGGGCCTGCAGAGTCCATCCGGTCTAACCTCCCTCGTTTTACAGTGAAGGAAATGGAAACCCCAGGAGCTGTCTTGGTTCAGCTGCTACTTGTGTGACTTTGGGCATGTGACTTCCCTTTTCTGGGCCCCAGCTTCTATCCTTATCTGTAAATTGAAGGGGTTTTACTGAGAAATCTTTTAAGGTTCCCAGTGGCTCTGTCCTCCCATGAGAGTACAAATCACAAAACCACACTGTGAGATTATGGGAGATTGGGCAGGATGGTGGGACAGGCATTTTGGGGGCTTTCTAGAGCCCTTCAAATCACAATATAGACATGGCTGCACACTTTTTCCTCACAAGTTAAGCTGCTGAGCCCTGGGACTGAGTTACACTTAACAGTCCAGTGTCGATAAATGGAACCAAATCAGTTGACCTGTTCATTTTCCCTCTTAACTGCTCACCTGCCAGGGTGATCTATCCTGGGGAGGAGACAGACTCTGGGCAGAAAGTGGGGGACTGGGTGTGCTCTGAAGCAGGGTTCAGTGAGAGGAATAAAGGTTCACAAAAGCATTCATCCCTTAGACCCGCCTTTTAGGACCTCTATGAATAGACCCGGATGCTTGTGGTTCTGGTGGGAGGAGCAAAGAAGCCATAGTTACTTAATCTTTAGGTGCTAGGGTGGGGTGGGAGTGAGGACTGGGTACAAGGGCATCCTGCTGGGTCAGGGGAGGCAAAAAGTTGATAAAAGGACAGGTTGGTTCTCTATGACCTGCCTCTGGGCCCCAAGTCGGGGATTTGGCAGTTGGGCAACATTGGGAATTTTGTTCCTCTTTCTGAGCTCCTTGGCGTCCCTCTTCGAGATAGTCACTGATTATAAAGTTCATAATGATGGGGGAGACAGGCTCCTGCCCTAGAGAGTCCTTAACTCGAAGCAGGAGTTAGGAAGGAAGGTGAGCAGTGACTGACCAAGTGGAAAGGGATTTTAAAGATCATTTAGCATCTGGATTCTAGGCCCATCCCTCTATTTTGTAGATGGGAACACTGAAACCCAGGAAGGGAAAGTGACTTGTCCAAAATGACAAGGCTAGTAAACAGCAAAGCTTGGACAAAAACCCTGGTCTTTGGGGGTGCTGCTCGGGTCCTCTTTCCACTACCAATGGCAACATTCCCTGACATCTGAGCTCATATCACACCACGCACAGCCTCCTGTGTCCTGGGCCATCATCTCTTAACTCCACGGCTGCTGCTTTTTCCTGCACTACAGATTCTCGCCAATCTTAACTGAGGAACCAGTAAGAGGGGAGAGTGGTGAGTTTTGAAGGAGGAGTTCACCTTCCTCTATAGTTTCCTCTCCCATGGCCCTTTCTGCTCCAGACCTATTCCTGATCCCCTAAACAAGCCAGGTGCGCTCTCTTCCTCCACATTCTGCTGTGCTATTCCCTGCACATTAACAGGTTCTCCCTAAATGTTCTTGACTTGAATTTGCCTGGACTCTAAGTGGGGGTGGAGGTCTAAAGCTGTGATCTGAAGGATGAACTGGGTATCTTAGTGAGATTTTCTTTCAGTTTTCTTTGGGGGAAAGTGAAATTCCACCACTGGTTTTTTGGTTTCCCCATTGCTCTGTTTCAGCTAACTCTTTCAAATTATTGTCTTCAGTACCTAGAAATGTGGTAGAGAGCCGGGGGCGGGGGGTGTGTGTGTGTGTGTGTGTGTGTGTGTGTGTGTGTGTGTGTGTGTGGGTACGCACAAAGAGACATAAAGGAGGTAGGGGATACAAAGATAATTCCTGGGACTGCACAATTTTGCCACTAGTCCCTCTGGAGGTCTTATCACCACCATGAACTAGGGAGCTGGTGGGTAGGAGAGGAGTTGCAGGAATGGACCTTAACATATAGCTAGAAGGAGACACAGGAATAGAATCTAAGTTAGAAGAGATCTTAATAATCATGTCATTGGTGCAACCCCCTCATTCAACCAGCGGGAAAAATAGAGCCACCCCAGCCGCGGAGATGAAATCACTTGCTCCAGTCCTCACAGCCGAGGAGGGGTATTCAGTCCACAGATCTTTCCACTACAAGCTCTCTGTTGCCTGCAGGACAGGCTAACCTCTTATTCTCATTCAAGCTCCTTTGGATGTGACCCTGCCTCTAGTCCCATCTCAGCACAGCTTTCCTCAGTGCCCTGCACCCTGTTCTCCAAACATTCCTGGTACTTGCACATCTCTTGCCTTTGCTCATGCTGTTTTCTTAGGCAGCAATGCCCTTCCTCTTTTTATTTGCACAGTGAATTCCTACTCATCCTTCAAGACCCAGCTCCAGTGTCAGCTCTGTAGATGCTCTCCTGAGACACCCCTCTCCCCCATTCTCTAGCCAGTTAGTCCCTCCCTCTTGTCTGTTCCCAAAGTGCTTCACGTAAAACCCTTTTTAAGCACGATGCTGTACTGAAATTATGTGTGTATATCTATATAATTTGTTAAACTGTGTGCTGTGAGGCGTGAGGGCAAGGACCTGTACCTCATACATTTCTTTATTCTCTGGGTCAGAGTACATAGCAGGCACTGAAGAATAAATGAATTAATGCCTCTTCTTATGAGACCATCCCCCTACAGCACACACATACACATTCAAGAAAACAGCTTACAGTACTTAAAAAAACAACTCCAAGGGCAGGCCAAAACAGATTCCATTTGGTCTGGGCAAGGAGAGGAAAGAAAAGAAGCCATCTCCGTCAGGTGGGGAAGTGAACCAGGGGAGGAGGAATTCTATGCCTCCTTTGGAAGTCCATGTGTTCCCTGCACCTGAACCTCATTTAATCCAAAGGGCAAACTTTCTTGGCCCCAAAACACTGGCAGTTGCCTTGCCACCCTCTTCTCTGTATACCTACCCAGGGTGTGGCCACACACACACACACACACACACACACACACACACACACCCGTACACATACACACAGTCCAACTCCCAGTCACCCAGCCTGTGATCTTGCCTTCAAAGTGTTCCTTTCATGGTTCCAATCTTGGCTGTATGCTTGGCTATGTGACCTTCAGCACTACACTTATTTCCTCTGAAATTCATCACGAGATGGGGATAATTACCCCCTGATTACCTCACATGGGAACTGGGGGAGACAATAGAGGGGAAGGTGTTTTAGAATTGCAAACTATTATATAAACAAGAGGCAATTATTAGGCAGCCAGGCCACCTTGCTTCCTTTTCTGTTTCCTTACCCACCTACGCACCCCAATATTACCAAGAACAGCCTTCCCGCTGTCCGCTGTCCCCGCCCTTGGTTCTCTTACCTTCAGAAGCAGCCCGAAGTTCTTCTTATTATTCTTGATTCACAGCACACTTCCTTCCTTCCTCTCTGATCAGCCCTGTATTTTCATCCTCTCTAATCAGCCCTGTAGTCTCTTTCCATTTAGGGGTACCAGTCCTCTAGTTGATAGAGAACACACTAGAGTGGGAATCAAGAGACCTGCCCCTATTTTGCCAAGGTGTCTGGCTATGTGTCTTGGTCAAGTTGCTTCTCCACTCTGGGCCGCATTTTCCCTATCAGTAAGGTAGGGTTTCTTGTCTTGCCTTCCTCTTAGTAGGTATTTTGAACATCCACTCATTCAGTTTGGGGATAGAAATGTGTTTTGAGAAGTGTGAGGTGAGTGAGGATGAAGAAGGTTGTTGGTTAGCATCTCAAGGAGTCGAGAAAATCTGAAAGCCGTTGCCATGGCTCCAGCATGGGTCTCCCCGATTTGGAGAGACAGACAGATCAGCTGGATGCCAGGAGGAGCTTACACATTTACAGCGCACCTTTATAAGTGAAGTGGAGAGAGCCCTGGGCCAGGAGTGAGGAGACTTGGGTTCTACTTGTTTCTGGTCCTTGGTGTGACCCTGGGCAAGTCATCTCCCCCTGGGCCTCAGTTTCCACATATGCAAATTGGTGAGGAGTAGGAGGAAATACTCTCTGTGGGCCCTCACACAAGAGACTCCCAGGTCGAGATCACTTTCCCCTCATAGGATGCAAGTGCAACAGGACCCGGAGGCTTATTTTACAGGTGGTGACCCCAAAGAAGAAAGCACAAGGCATAGAAGGGGGGTGGTGGTGGGGTGGGGCGACTAGCACAGGTTTACAACCCCTAAACTAGACCCCAAGTCTCCTGACTCCCAGCCTAGACCTATGTTGTTCTCAGCAGAATATGCCTTTGGGTGTCCCCAGGCTTTCCCCGATACTGGGGTGCATATAGGAAGAGGGGCAGGATGGAGTAGCGATTGGTCAAGTCAACTCTCCAAATCAAGCGGCTCCTACCAAGCAAGAAGACCGTGCTGGGTTCCCGAGTGCCATTTCCGCGCGTGCG